TATTATTATTATTATCATTATTATTATAATTATCATTATAATTACAGGTCACTTTGTTGACACAGTACTTCATTAGCAGATTGTGATAGTTGGTGGAGACGTTTTACTCCCACATTGACACAAAAAGAATAAGTTAAACATTATTTACAGGTCTTTTATGTGGACACATGACTTCATTAGCTGGTTTGGTGAAGACATTTTATTGCCAAATCGACATAAAAAAAGAATATCTTAACATCAATCACGGGTCAATTTGCGGACAAAACACTTTTTTAGTTGATGGGTGTTGGGGACTTTTACGCCCATATTGACACAAAAAGATCAATTTTACATCATTAACAGGTTGTTATGTGAACAAAACACTTGATTAGATGATAGGTGATGAAAAAATTTGCATCCACATTGACCCAAAGAGAATCATTTTGCATTATCTAGGGACCACTCTGAGGTCACAAACAGCTCATTAGCTGGTGGGTGTTGGAAACATTATTCCAACATTGACACGAAAAAGAATGACTTAACATCATTTACGGATCAATTTGCAGACAAAACATTTCATTAGCAGATGGGTGGTAGAGACATTTTACGCCCACTTTGACACAAAAGAAAATAGTTTTAAAATGATTTACAGGTCGTTATATGGACAAAACACTTTACTAACTGCAGCCATTTGTTGTATGTAATTTACTCCCTCATTGACAAAAGAAAGGTATCATTTTACTTCATTTACAGATAGTTATGAGGGTATAACACTTTACTAACAGCTGTTGGCTGTTGGAAACATTTTATGTTCATAGTAACAGAATTTTACATATTTGACGGATGGTTCTGTCGACACAATCCTTGACCAATTGTATGTCATCGTGGTGGAAAACGAGTGTTTGTTATACGCTATTATTAGTGGATAGAATCTTTTTCATAAATCGTGCGGACTGATTGACGTAATTCATCAAGTTATGTTAACGATTTGAAAAATGTCGAGTGAAAACGAGATTTCTAGACTGGCAAATTGTTAAAAAAAGAAAAAGAAAACAAAGCAAAAAAAAAAAGAAAAGAAAAGAAAGAAAAAAAACAAACAAAAAAACACAAAAACAAAACAAGAACAAGAACAAGAACAAGAACAAGAATAACAACTACAACAACAACAACAACAACAACAACAACCACAACAACAACAACAACAACAAAAAACCTACAGTGAAGATAGATATATAACGACGTGATCTAAATTCGTGTCGATGGTGGAGTAAAAACGCCTACATCAAAACATGATTGTTCACCTGAGAAGCCTGGTTCTCCTGGTAAGCCTGGCCATATCCGTTAGGGACGGCCTTCTCCAGAGGGTAGATGTACTGTCCTCTCAAGGTGATGACCTTGGGCGCGCCCTCCAACTGCCTGAGGAAGAGGTTGACCACGGTGCGGCCACTGAGCGGGTTGGCGGGGATCCTGTAGGCGTTCTGGACCGGGCGTTGTCCGGAGATCTCTATCTTCAGACCAAGAGGGAGCAGGTCTTGGCGGCGGTAGGTCTGAGGAGGGGAGGGGAGAGGTAGATAGATAGATAGATAGATAGATCGTCAGTTGGATAAGCATAGGCTGATTGAAAGAGAAAGATATATAAATTGAGAGAGGCAGATAAATAATAAATAGACGGACCGATAAGTAGGCAGATAGCTAGACTGACAGACAGACAGATAGATAGACAGACAGACTGATAGATAGATAGACAAACAAATAGCCATCAGCATTAGCAGCAATCAAAGGCAAGAGAAGGAATAAACAGCAACAGTAGAAACAGCAAGGACATCAACAACACAGAAAACATAAATAACTACCCCCTGCCCCCACCGCAGAATCCTGATTCCAGCAGCAGCGTAGATGGGTCTGATGTCCACGTCAACGACAAAAACAACAGCAACAACAACAACATGATAATCAACATCAACAACAACAACAACAACAACACCTCGCCCGTGCTCTCACCGGCAGAATCCTGATTCCAACAG